CATGAATGAAACGTGTCCTCACCACTTACGTGTATTTGTGTGGTATGAATGCACAGCTTGAACAAAAACGAGCGCATTTGCCTCGGCGTAATCCACAAATACCAACAGGAGCGTTAATGCCATCTTGGTGACCAGGCGGAACTGGATTTAAAAAAGGGAAGGAAACCCGAGCATAGTAGAGAGAGAGAGAGTTTGTGACACTGAATGATACGCAAATGCAATCACAACGTCTCAAACCTTCTTTACGTCCAACACATGAGGCAAATTCATAATTGATATACTTGCCTCGAGTTCTGTAAATCCACAAAAATAATATTTTTGTTTTGTTTTTCATTTAAATGGTGTGCATGTTTCCCTTTTATGTGATAAATAACCTTTTGTGTGTTGAACCGGAGATGCGATAGATTTGTTCTGGAAATTTTTGTGCCTTCATATAACGAAACAACAGGCTTGGACTTTCTGATGATGCTTCGTTGCTGTCTACGGTATAACACCGGTCGCATATCCATTAAACTGTTCGACCGGCGGAAGGAACTATATTGACGGTAGCCTAGATCCAAAATCATTCAGTGAAACAGTGGTCTACACACTCGGTCGTGCGATGCTATACAGTCGACGGCACCTGGTCCTGCAAATACCGCAAGTGTGTCCTTAAATGAAAGAAAAACAATTTTTTTAAATATAATATTTCGTGTCATATACCCACACCTGTCCTGCTTGTGAAACACTCAGGAAATTGTGAAACCCGTCGTGTGATCTTTCAGATACTTTTTATCAGTGATTCATACACACCTTACTATAAGCCCATCGGAAATTGATTTCAGGTTCCAGTTATTCCCTTAGGTTACAGGGATCTAACCCACAAGTGATACGGAATCCTCATACTTATTCCATGAGGTTGAATTGTCCAGAAGTAACTTCCTAAGGTGGAAATGAGGGTATTGTGATGGAATATTATAGCTATTCTCAGCCGGATATGTCGAGCGGGACAAGATAAGATCTTGCATCATAGAGTGGTCAGAATGATCGCGTATTTCCACGTAATTCTATCGACAGGTTTACGAACTGCACCAAGCTGGAAGGTAAGTAACGTTTCCGTTTGAACCGGATTCCGTCTCTACAGGTATGCCACACTGGGATACATTAACTAAACCAGCAAGTGTACATGTATTTAAAAAAAAGCAGAAAACGTGTGTGACTAGAGGGAGAGAAATGAGGGACAGAGTTAAATGTGTGCGAGAATATCTGATCACTATCATACATGCTCAGAAAAACCCAAATAAAAACCGTATCTCTTTGTCTGTATTCATACGAGCGGCCCGCCAATTAAACAAGTTCAGACAGACATTAGCAGCTCGTGGGCAGAGTCTGGATAAATGAACGAACAACCCACATCACATAAACTGCTACTGTGACTGAGTCTATTTCGGCTCCTTCGTTCCTGTCGTCAACCTAGCTTCGAAACAACTGCAAATTTGTTCCGATTTGTGCTTCGTGGTTGTGTGGGTGTCAGAAAAGACGGTAGTCGTACATGTGAATGTCCTGAACAGGTGAACTGCGCAGCAGCCATTCCAGTTTACGGCCAAAAAATGCGATCTAAGCAATTTGGTGAGCTGGTGCATGACGTAGGTGATTTTGCTAGTGTGCACAGTATGGGTAGGCGATGGGATTTTAGCGATAGTTAACAGAATAGAAAATACAGTTGAAATGATGTCTTACAGTTGTTACTAAGACGAAGGTTCATTTTTATGTGTCCAGAGCAAGGGAAACGTGGTGTGAAAAACTCTGAACTTCGTCGAGTCTCATCCGCGGTGTGAATTCATCGACTCGATTGGAACCTCACAGGTAGAAAGTAAGCATACAGACTAATTGACCAATACGGAATATCTGATTGGAATATTTCGCTTTGTTTATACACAATATGCAAAATGCATCTTTGCAACCCACTCAAGCACTAACCCCTTAGGGCTATACATCTTGCACGACCAAGTTCTCCTAGTGACGGTTATTGCAGACGTCGTCACCGACCGTTGAGAGCGTTAATTCGATCGAGAGATGTTTGCCCATTCACGCTAGGCTAATTGGTCGTGATTCCGTCCGTCACCTGGAGACATGCCCGATGGCGTATAGATTCGCCGATCGTATTCTACGGTTTACTAAGCGAAAACAAGAATAACCACGTTTAAAAAGAACTTGCAACTGGCTTTACGAGTAGAGCAAATGAGAATCAATTGTAAGAGTCAAGTTAATGTTTGCGGTAACATCTTATCATTGATGTACTGGAGCTCGCGTCTCATTCCACAAAGAACGCAAAAAGTGTTTAACTGACGGAACTATGATAATCATATAACTAAAGACCTGGTCGCGAACCACAAACCTTGATAGGGTTATGGATTTCAAACGATCGCTTTCCCAGTACCTTTGGGCGCCATCAAAACGACGGGTGCACTCATACACGCATATCAAATAGACACGCTCAGGGATCGCGCTCATACAGACCGGAGCGTAATGACTGCGTGGTACGATTAGTTGTGCACACACGCACATACACACACCAGTCGCGTGGCACTCCGCTGAGTCGCATCACTCATGCCCAATACCGTGTGCGCATG